AAATATAAGTTAAAATAAAAGAGAAATTTATATACATAAATAAATAATAAACATAACTATTGAATGATTGATAAAACGTTTGTTAGTATATTTTGTTCATAGATCTTGTCCTTAATGCTTACTTCGATCACCCCTATACAACTATTGAATAATTGATAAAACGTTTGTTAGTATGTTTTGTTTTGTTCATAGATCTTGTCCTTAATGCTTACTTCGACCACTATTGAATAGTTGATAAAACGTTCGTTAGTATGTTTTGTTCATAGATTTTGTCCTTAATGTTTACTTCGATCACTATTGAATAGTTGATAAAACGTTCGTTAGTATGTTTTGTTCATAGATCTTGTCCTTATTGCTTACTTCAACCACTCCTATATAAACCATTGAATAATTGATAAAATGTTTGTTAGTGTGTTTTGTTCATAAATCTTGTACTTAATGCTTACTTTGATCACTCTATACAAACTATTGAATAATTGATAAAATGTTTGTTAATGTATTTTGTTCATAGATCTTGTCCTTAATGTTTACTTCAATCACTTATACACAAACTATTGAATAATTGATAAAACGTTTGTTAGTATACCAAATTTTGCTTACTACAGCATTATGTGCCTGTGTCCTCAAGTGGTGACAAACTTGTGATCCAGTCGTCAAGTCATGGTACTATGCACCTGTTATCAGCACATGTGCCTTAGTACCTTGTGTATAGCCAACTTTAAAAACTCACCACATACAAAAGTGGCTAACCAGTGATGCTATACATCCCATTGGCACTCCATGCCTGCCAAAACTAGGGAGTTTCAGCAGAATGATATATGCAAAACTGCCAAAACTATGGATGAATTTTGGTATAACTGCTAGTAAAAATTTAATATAGTTTCGCCATAGTTTAATCTAGAGTTTGGAAATCAACTATTTTAGTTGTATACTATTACTCTAAGCATGCAAAATTTTTTTTGGTACATCTATGAATATGTAATGATCAGACCTATAACTGAGCTATATCTAAACATGGCATTATGTATGAAATGGATAAAGTTCAATCATGACCTTCATTCTGATTTTGGTAAGAATGGACCATTGTTACCATGGTATAAAATTATAGACTATTTATGTATTTAGAAGCAAGATCCTTCCAGCATCTCTACTTCACAACACATTCGCTAAAACCAAGCTACATGTTATTATAATTTTTTTGTGAAGTTATTATGTATATATATAATTTCAAATGTTAAATTTTCTAGTCACGTGTAATCGATATTTTAAATGCAGAATTTTTGTGCGTGCACGTGATTAAATATTCATGGAATGTTCTAGTAAAATTACTTCATAGTTTAATATTAAATTAAAATTTTTTTTTTTATCGCGAAAGAAACAACATTTATTAATACTAGTATTTTTTATCAAGGTGGTTTTCTTTTTTTCACATGGTCATCAATTGAAGTAAATAACTTATTAATTCTTTGCCCTTCAACACAAAATAATAACAAAACGCAAGATTATAAATATTCAACAATCATGGGAAAAGACTATTATCAAATTTTAGAAGTTGATAAGAACGCTGACGAAGAAGCTATTAAAAAAGCCTATAAAAAATTAGGTAAATATTGAAAATATTTGCAAATAAATGTCTTTCGCTTTTATCATTTATTTATATTAATTTCATAAAATAGCTCTTAAATGGCATCCAGACAGACATCAAAGTAATAAAGAACAAGCAGAAAAAAAGTTCAAGGAAATCAGCGAAGCTTATGAAGTATTAAGTGATAAACAAAAAAGAGAGATTTATGATATGTATGGCGAAGAAGGATTGAAAGGCGCACCACCGCCGTCATCATCATCGTCATCATCAGACGGTAGTGGATTCACTGGCGGATTTCCAGGTGGATTTCCAGGTAGTTTCCCAGGTAGTTTCCCAGGTAGTTTCCCAGGTGGATTTCCAGGCGGTAGAACATCATATACAACATTCACTTCGGGTAAATAAATTTGATTGTTTGATGACTATTTTTTATATTTAATCAATGATTCATTTATCTATCAATTTAATATAGGATCCGACGGATTTAATGGATTTAAACCATCCGATCCAAATCATATTTTTAGTCAATTCTTTCAGTCTTCATTCGGTAATGATTTTGCAGGATTTGGACCTGAATTTGATGTAGGTGGCTCAAGACCTGATGGTAATAAAAGATCACATGGCAATGGTACAGGAACATTAGAAGTTAAACATACATTATCATTAACACTTGAAGAAATATATAAAGGTACTGCTAAAAAACTCAAAGTCTCTCGAAAAACAATTGCCGGCGCAACTGGTAAACCAATGCTTACTGACAAAATTTTGGAAATGAATGTAAGACCTGGTTTGAAAGCCGGTACAAAATTCAGGTTTCCCAAATCAGGTGATGAATTACCAACTGGTGAAACACAAGATATTGTTGTAATTTTAGAAGAAAAACCTCATCCGCTATTCACAAGAAATGGTGACAATTTACTAATAACAGTCACATTAACTTTACTTGAGGCTCTTACCGGCTTTAAGAAAACCATAAATACCTTAGATAATAGAAATTTGGCGATATCTAATTATAACGCTGTTATAAGACCTGGTTACGAACAAATTTTTGCAAATGAAGGTATGCCAACAAAAGAACAGACTAAAAAAGGTGATTTAGTAATAAAATATGATGTTAAATTTCCTACTAAATTAACTGATCATCAAAAACAAGAACTTGCAAGGATTTTACATAATTAGATAGATAGATTTTTTTTTTTAATGTCACATAATCGTACTATTATTATTTTTCTCCCTTACCTCTCTCCTTGAATGGATTTGCTTTTAAATATATTTAGACAAAGGAATAATAAATGTATAACATTGATATGTATCTTTTTATATTTGATAGAGAAAATATATTTATTTATTTATTTATTTATTTATTTATAATAACGTTATCGACTTGACGATTAAAATGATGGGGTGAAGGGTATTGCTTTATAACGAATAAACTCATCTAGGTTGATAAAATTTGTATATCTAAAAAAATTATTATAAAAAAAAAATTAAAATTGTGAAGAATTTTAGGTAAATTCTTTTTTTTTTATATATTAAATAAAAGTACTTTTTTACTATTAAATAATTAATAATTCATCTAATTCATCAAATTTTTTATTAATATTATTAATAGATATAATAAATCAAAAGATTTGATTTAATAAACAAGTCAATAACAATGTCAAAAGGCTTTCCATTACCATTAATTAGCACGACAAAAATCAAACCAAGATATGGGAACAATTTTCAGATATAAATAATTCTTTTCATTTAACAACTGATTATTTACAACTGAAAAGGAACGAGATTGATTGACTTTGTAACAAATTAGACAAATTAAAGTTAGAAGTATTGATAGTTCGAATAATCTAAGTTTACACAAATATGAAACCATCAATGATCATGAATAAATTCTAATATAATAAAATATTATTACCTGAAAATTAAATAATTTGAAAGGAATAGATAGATGGAAAAGTTTTCTAATAATGATTAAATTAATCAAATGCAATTAATATATTAAGAAAATTCACAAAAATTTAATTATGACTTTCTTTTTGAAATCATTAGAATGGTAAAATTATTATTCAATTTTTTTATTAGTTCCAAAATTGCTATTAATGTAATAATATTAAAAGTTCTTGATGCAATAAAAATTTTTGTATTATTTATTATGCCATAAAAATTTCTAAATGAATACCAATGATCAGGATCCAAGTATAAATACCGCAACATATCACAATCATAATGACCATACTAAAGCTACAAATATAGGGAATGTGTGATTTGGTTCATTCGTTACTTTATGAGAGAGAGACTGGTAATCATAACAAAATATGTAAATAATTAATCAATCAAAAATATATATAATTCTGTTTATCATTCATTACTAATTGATTAACATTATTATTTTTTACCAAACATAATATACCCATCCACTGTTAATGAGTTTTGTTGAATACATCATACATTTAAGCCATTTAGTTACACGAATTTTGTTTGCAATTTTTGTATTTCACGTAGTGATGTTAGCCGGCTAAGAAATTTATCGGCTTAGCCGACTAAAAAAAATTTCTCTTGACATTCATTTTTACGTCTGGAATTTTCAATGGCATAAACATTTAGTTGAGATGGATCCAATTACATTACTTAGAATGACAAAAAAACATACATTTACTCAAAAAACAAAATATAATACATCATAGTAGGATAAAAGTCATTCGTAATACAAATTCTTATTTTAATTCGAATTATTATTATTCGTTCTATTCGAATTATTCGTTTTATTCGTTTATTCGAATAAAACTTTCAATGTAATTCGAATACTCAAATTCATAACGAATAAAATAAATAATTTGAACCATTAAAGGCGAGA